TAGGTGTGTGCGTGTAGGTGTGTGTGTGTGTAGGTATGTGTGTGTAGGTGTGTGTGTAGGTGTGTGTGTGTGTAGGTGTGTGTAGGTGTGTGTGTAGGTTGTGTGTGTGTAGGTGTGTGTGTGTAGGTGTGTGTGTGTAGGTGTGTGTAGGTGTGTGTAGGTGTGTGTGTGTGTAGGTGTGTGTAGGTGTGTGTAGGTGTGTGTGTGTAGGTGTGTGTGTAGGTGTGTGTGTGTAGGTGTGTGTGTAGGTGTGTGTGTAGGTGTGTGTAGGTGTGTGTGTAGGTGTGTGTGTGTGTAGGTGTGTGTGTAGGTGTGTGTGGGGAGCGGTAGTGTAGCGGTTAGCGCGCTGCGCTATGAACCTGGCGACCCGGGTTCGATTCCCGCTCACGGCTAACACCAGTGACGATTATCTGAACCGGTCCTGGGCCTCCCCTAGGTCGACTCAGCCTTAAATGAGTACCTGGTGCAGTGTGTAAACATCGCCACTAGGGAGACAAAGGCGGTCGGGCGTGGTGCTGGCCACCCACCCCCTCGTGTACCGTTCCGGCCTTCATAGGTGCTCGCTAACAGCACTTGCCCCTACAGTCTGTTCAGGCTATACGGGGGATCTTTGTCTTTGTAGGTGTGTGTGTGTGTAGGTGTGTGTGTGTAGGTGTGTGTGTGTAGGTGTGTGTGTGTAGGTGTGTGTGTGTAGGTGTGTGTGTAGGTGTGTGTAGGTGTGTGTGTAGGTGTGTGTGTGTGTAGGTGTGTGTGTGTGTAGGTGTGTGTGTAGGTGTGTGTAGGTGTGTGTAGGTGTGTAGGTGTGTGTGTGTGTGTAGGTGTGTGTAGGTGTGTGTAGGTGTGTAGTGTGTGTGTAGGTGTGTATAGTGTGTGTGTAGGTGTGTGTGTGTAGGTGTGTGTGTAGGTGTCGTGGGCAGTGCTGTGGGGGGAGGGCCAATGCCCATTGGCCTCTCCCCTCATGGCGTCTGTGACCACCACAGTGGCTAAACGGGGGCTCTGGACGGGTGCGAGGGGCTGGTAACCCCTCCACCTTCAATTAACCACCACTAAACCACGAATTAAACATAAACCTGTAACAAATAAGCTTGTGCCGGAGGCCCCGGGGGGTCAGGCTTTTATGACGTCTCCTCGCCAAACCCCATTTGGCGGAGCCAGGAAATTGAATTTTCACCCTCGGGGCTCCTCCAGAAACAACAAAAAACCATTGCGGATGGCCACGTGGAATGTTCGAACGCTCACTGCGGAGGAGAGGCTGCCACTCCTCTGTCGGGAGCTGGACCGGTACCGCCTGGATCTCTGTGGCATTCAAAAGGTCCGGTGGACCGGTTCTGGCTCCTGCCACCATGAGGGGTGGACAGTCCTCTACTCGGGGCAGGAGACTGCCAAACAACAGGGTGTGGCTCTTCTTCTGAACAAAAGAATGAAGGGGGCGTGGGAGCGTGGCGGTGAGGTGTGGGAAGCTGTAAGCCCCAGGATACTTTGGGCTCGCCTTCCCATCAACCAGAGGCGAGGAGTGGTGGTCGTGGTTACTTATGCCCCCACCGAAGACGAACATCCGTGGAGGGATGCAGGCAAAGCCGATGAGTCAGACACTTTCTATGACCTCCTGTCACAGGTGCTGGCTAAAGTGGCCACTCGGGACAGAGTCATCTTGTTGGGTGACTTCAATGCCCGAGTTGGTCATGATGCTGGCACCTGGTCTGGAGTGATTGGAAGGCGTGGGCCAGATCAGCTCAATAATAACGGTAGGAGGCTGCTAGATTTTTGTGCAGCCCATGGGCTTGTAATTACCAACACGCTCTTCCGGCATCGGCGCATCCACACAACATCATGGATACATGCCGGGTCCAAGCAAGAACATCTGCTGGACTACATAGTGACGGACCAGCGGATGCGAGCACATGTCCTTGACACCAGGACCTACCGTGGAGCTGATCTGTCCTCTGACCATCGACTATTCATCTGTAAGATGCGCCTGCCTTTCTTCCACTCCGGTGGTGGGTGTACACCCAGGATCCCATTCCAACCAAAAGTGGCCTGGTCTCAGTTAGCTGATGAAAGTTGCAAGCGAGAATTTCTTCATCGCTTGCAGCTGGGGTTGGCATCGTCCCCCACTCCACCTGATGTCGAGGGGAAATGGGCGAGGTTTAAGACTGTGACTCATGCAGCTGCAATGGCTGCTTTGGGTACGTGGTCCACACCTCCCCAGAAACCCTGGCTGACAGAGGAGGTGTTCAGGTTAATTGAGAAAAAGCGACAGGCCCACTCTCATCGCCTACAGCATCCCACGTCAGAGAATGAGGAGGTTTACCGCAGCCTTCGCTCGGAAGTTCGGAGAGCCGTAAGGCGCTGTAAGGATGGGTGGTGGTCGCGGGTTGCTGAGGAGATGGAGTCTGCCTCAGTGGCCCGTGATCACAAATCACTATTTAACTCCATCAAAAAAGTAACCTGCAGCGCCACACCTATTACCATCATTAGAGGAAAAAACGGTGATCCAATCTCCGACCCCCAGGAACAGGTTTGCAGATTTGCTGAGCATTTCTGTGAGGTCCTGGGGGAGGGAAATTCTCTCAGCCAGGAAAACATCATGGCACAAAGTGGTGATAACCCTGCTGAGGCTGCGGTGCCTCAAATATTGGAAGAGGTCACCCCCTGTGAGTGGCTGGCTGAGGTGCCAGCTGTTGAGGAAGTACTGAGGGCGATCCGGAGTCTGAGACCAGGAAAGGCACCGGGCAGAGATGATCTCCCAAGCGAAATGCTGAGGGAGGGTGGCGTTTGTGCACAGACTGCCCTATATGACATCATAACAACAGTCTGGACCACTGGACGGGTTCCGCAGGACTGGAAGGATGCCCTGGTGGTCCCCCTCTTTAAGAAGGGGGACCGTACCGACTGTAACAACTACAGGGGCATCTCACTCCTCAGTGTGCCGGGTAAGGTCCTGGCAAGGATTATTCAACATCGCCTTGCTAGGCACGCTGAGGAGAGGCTTGTGGAGCCCCAATGCGGTTTCAGGAAAGGGCGGTCCTGCACAGATGCCATATTTTCTGTCCGTCTTCTACAGCAGAGGTGTAGGGAATTCCAAAAAGACCTACATCTCTGCTTTATTGACCTGGTCAAGGCCTATGATACCATCAGTAGGACTGGGCTCTGGGTTGTTCTTCGTGCTTTCGGAGTCCCTGACCCTCTGCTCACGATCATTAAGGACCTTCATGATGGTGAGCGGGCCCGGGTAAAACTACATGGCCGGGAGTCGGAGCCTTTCCCTGTACACCTTGGGGTGCGACAGGGATGTCCTCTGGCTCCCACATTATTTAACATCTATTTTGACCGCGTAGTTCATGAAGCCTTCAATAGCTGTACCGGGGGAATTTCCATTTGGTACAGATATAATGGGAGGCTGATCGACGCCCGGGTGCGATCAAGGGATGGCTCCCTATTGGTCAACCACGTTATATATGCCGATGATTTGGTAATAGCTGCTCATTCAGAAGAGGAGTTGGAGACGCTGCTGCTGAGACTGGAGCGTGCCACTAAGAGGTGGGGCCTTACCATCAGCCCCACCAAAACTAAGCACCTGCTTGGGTATTTTGTACCATCGGACACTCCACCCCCACAACTCCCAATCGGTGATGGGGCAGTTGTGGAGAGAGTGGAGAGTTTCCCATACCTGGGCAGTGTGCTTATGACCGGCTCCAGTTTATCAGCAGAGGTCTCACTCCGAATCAGTCGAGCGGCAATATCTTTTCATCGGTTGCGTAACGCTGTGTGGAAGCTACCTGGTCTGTCGCTCCGCACGAAGCTTCAGGTCTTCTCGGCCACGGTCATTCCCTCCCTTCTCTACGCTTGCGAGACGTGGACCCCCCTGGTGGAGCATCTTCGCCGGTTGGAAACATTTAGGCTGGCCTGCCTACGATCCATCCTGGGTTTAACCAGGCTGGATTGTGTGAGGAGCTCACAAATCCTTGAAAGATCTGGGCAAAGTCCCATCAGTGAGCTCCTCCGGCAGGCAAGGCTGCGTTGGCTGGGTCATGTAGCCCGCATGCCCAGCCACCGCATGCCTAAACAGCTTTTGTTCGGCCGGATCGAGGGGGCTAGACGGGCGCGGCACGGGCTGGAGAAGAGATGGAGTGATGTGGTACAGGAGGACGTGGAGCTGAGTGGACTTGCCGATGACTGGTACCAGCGGTGTCAAGATCGGCCTCAGTGGAGGAGGCTCGTGAAGGACGCTACTGGGCAGTTGGAGGCAGTCGCCCTCCAACAACAACGGAGGGCGGAGGAGCGACGCTCACAACAACGAGCGGAGCGCCGGGTGGCTAAAGCACAGCAAGTTGGCACAGTAGGGGGCACAGGTGGTGCATCAGCCAGTCATCTCGGTCATCTCGGTCAGTCGACCCGTGGCACCTGCTGGGTCTGCCCCGTGACCTCCTGCCAGCGGGCGTTCGACACTTCACGTGGCCTCAAGGTGCACTTGGCCTGGCACAAGCATCGTGGTGACGTCACCGCCACTTAGTGGCGAATGGCGGTTGTTGTTGTTGTATGTGTGTATGTAGGTGTGTGTGTGTGTGTAGGTGTGTGTGTAGGTGTGTGTGTGTGTAGGTGTGTGTGTGTAGGTGTGTGTGTGTAGGTGTGTGTGTAGGTGTGTGTGTGTGTAGGTGTGTGTGTGTGTAGGTGTGTGTGTGTGTGTAGGTGTGTGTGTGTAGGTGTGTGTGTGTGTAGGTGTGTGTGTGTGTAGGTGTGTGTGTGTGTGTAGGTGTGTGTGTGTAGGTGTGTGTGTCGGTGTGTGTGTGTAGGTGTGTGTGTGTAGGTGTGTGTGTGTGTAGGTGTGTGTAGGTGTGTGTGTCGGTGTGTGTGTGTAGGTGTGTGTGTGTAGGTGTGTGTGTGTGTAGGTGTGTGTGTGTAGGTCTGTGTGTGTGTAGGTGTGTGTGTGTCGGTGTGTGTGTGTAGGTGTGTGTGTGTAGGTGTGTGTGTAGGTGTGTGTGTGTAGGTGAATGACTCACCACTTCACGAGGCTCTCAGTCATCTCGGGCGACAGCTGCAGAGTCGTCCCTGAGCACGGCTTGAAGCGAGATGCTCGCTCCACCACCTTGTCCACCTCTACCACCTTGTCCACCTTGTCCACCTTGTCCACCACTACCTCCACCACCTTGTCCACCTTGTCCACCTCCACCAGCTTGTCCACCTCCACCTTGTCCACCAATACCTCCACCACCTTGTCCACCTTGTCCAAAACTACCTCCACCACCTTGTCCACCTCCTCCACCACCACCTTGTCTACCCCCACCTCCACCTTGTCCACCACCTCCACCTCGTCCACCTCCTCCTCCACCACCTCCTCCACGTCCACCTTGTCCACCACCTTGTCCACCACCTCCACCACCACCTTGTCCACCACCTCCTCCTCCACCACCACCTTGTCCACCACCTCCTCAACCACCTTATCCACCTTGTCCACCACCTCGTCCACCACCTCGTTCACCTCCTCCTCCACCACCTCGTCCACCAGCTTGTCCACCTCCACCTCGTCCACCTTGTCCACCTCGTCCACCTCCTCCACCACCTTGTCCACCTCCTCCACCACTACCTCCACCTGGTCCACCTCATCATCGTCCACCACTGCCACCACCACCTTCTCCACCTCCTCCACCTCCACCACCTTGTCCACCACCTTGCCCACCACCTCCACCACCTCCACCTCCTCCACCTCGTCCACCCGCGTAGCCATCGCAAGAGTCGATCGGAATCGATTCTTCGATGCGGCGTCTATTGAACCTCCCAAATCGATTCCACGCAGCCCTCACCTGTGAATCGTTTACCGCCGCCTCAGTTGTTGATTTGTTTTTGACGTCGATCGATCTTCTGCCCCCATCAAGGGTCGAAGCTTCTTTTACTTAACTAATCGATTATCGATCAACCCCGCGGTCGGAATTCGATTATTGAGTCGATTAAAACTTTTCTCTTTGGCGGGGAATCGAGGAATCGACGTTGCCGTAGCAACCGCCGGCGGCGCGAGACGCCGCAACTTCTTCCGGAAGATGTCTTCCGGCTGTTTCTTTGGAGACTCATTTAGCTTCTAGAAGACTCTGCCGGAAGATGTCTTCCGGCCGTTTCTTTGGAGACTCATTTAGCTTCTGGAAGACTCTGCCGGAAGATGTCTTCCGGCGGTTTCTTTGGAGACTCATTTAGCTTCTGGAAGACTCTGCCGGAAGATATCTACCGCCTGTTTCGTTGGGGTTCATTTTGTCTCATGGAAGAATCTTCCGGAAGGCAAACCAGGGAGACTCACACAGAGACCCACACTCATAGAGACCCACTGAGACCCACACTCATAGAGACCCACAGAGACCTCACACAGAGACCCACACTCATAGAGACCCACAGAGACCCAAACTCATAGAGACCCACAGAGACCTCACACAGAGACCCACACTCATAGAGACCCACAGAGACCTCACACAGAGACCCACACTCATAGAGACCCACAGAGACCCAAACTCATAGATACCCACAGAGACCCACACTCATAGAGACCCACAGAGACCTCACACAGAGACCCACACTCATAGAGACCCACAGAGACCCAAACTCATAGATACCCACTGAGACCCACACTCATAGAGACCCACAGAGACCTCACACAGAGACCCACACTCATAGAGACCCACAGAGACCCAAACTCATAGATACCCACAGAGACCCATACTCATAGAGACCCATAGAGACCCACAGAGACCCATACTCATAGAGACCCACAGAGACCCACACTCATAGAGACCCACAGAGACCCATACTCATAGAGACCCACAGAGACCCACAGAGACTCATACTCATAGAGACCCACAGAGACCCACAGAGACTCATACTCATAGAGACCCACAGAGACCCAAACTCATAGAGACCCACAGAGACCCATACTCATAGAGACCCACAGAGACCCACACTCATAGAGACCCACAGAGACCCACACTCATAGAGACCCATACTCATAGAGACCCACACTCATAGAGACCCACAGAGACCCACACTCATAGAGACCCACAGAGACCCAAACTCATATTTACCCACATAGACCCACAGAGACCCATACTCATAGAGACCCACAGAGACCCATACTCATAGAGACCCACAGAGACCCACACTCATAGAGACCCACAGAGACCCACAGAGATCCATACTCATAGAGACCCACAGAGACCCACAGAGATCCATACTCATAGAGACCCACAGAGACCCAAACTCATAGAGACCCACAGAGACCCACAGAGATCCATACTCATAGAGACCCACAGAGACCCACAGAGATCCATACTCATAGAGACCCACAGAGACCCACAGAGATCCATACTCATAGAGACCCACAGAGACCCACAGAGACCCATACTCATAGAGACCCACAGAGACCCACACTCATAGAGACCCACAGAGACCCATACTCATAGAGACCCACAGAGACCCACAGAGATCCATACTCATAGAGACCCACAGAGACCCACACTCATAGAGACCCACAGAGACCCACAGAGACCCATACTCATAGAGACCCACAGAGACCCACACTCATAGAGACCCACAGAGACCCACACTCATAGAGACCCACAGAGACCCAAACTCATAGAGACCCACAGAGACCCACAGAGACCCATACTCATAGAGACCCACAAAGACCCACACTCATAGAGACCCACAGAGACCATACTCATAGAGACCCACAGAGACCCACAGAGATCCATACTCATAGAGACCCACAGAGACCCACACTCATAGAGACCCACAGAGACCCACAGAGACCCATACTCATAGAGACCCACAGAGACCCACACTCATAGAGACCCACAGAGACCCATACTCATAGAGACCCACAGAGACCCACAGAGACTCATACTCATAGAGACCCACAGAGACCCACAGAGACTCATACTCATAGAGACCCACAGAGACCCAAACTCATAGAGACCCACAGAGACCCATACTCATAGAGACCCACAGAGACCCACACTCATAGAGACCCACAGAGACCCACACTCATAGAGACCCATACTCATAGAGACCCACAGAGACCCAAACTCATAGAGACCCACAGAGACCCATACTCATAGAGACCCACAGAGACCCATACTCATAGAGACCCACAGAGACCCACATAGATCCATACTCATAGAGACCCACAGAGACCCACACTCATAGAGACCCACAGAGACCCACAGAGACCCATACTCATAGAGACCCACAGAGACCCACACTCATAGAGACCCACAGAGACCCACACTCATAGAGACCCACAGAGACCCACACTCATAGAGACCCACAGAGACCCAAACTCATATTTACCCACATAGACCCACAGAGACCCATACTCATAGAGACCCACAGAGACCCATACTCATAGAGACCCACAGAGACCCACACTCATAGAGACCCACAGAGACCCACAGAGATCCATACTCATAGAGACCCACAGAGACCCACAGAGATCCATACTCATAGAGACCCACAGAGACCCAAACTCATAGAGACCCACAGAGACCCACAGAGATCCATACTCATAGAGACCCACAGAGACCCACAGAGATCCATACTCATAGAGACCCACAGAGACCCACAGAGATCCATACTCATAGAGACCCACAGAGACCCACAGAGACCCATACTCATAGAGACCCACAGAGACCCACACTCATAGAGACCCACAGAGACCCATACTCATAGAGACCCACAGAGACCCACAGAGATCCATACTCATAGAGACCCACAGAGACCCACACTCATAGAGACCCACAGAGACCCACAGAGACCCATACTCATAGAGACCCACAGAGACCCACACTCATAGAGACCCACAGAGACCCACACTCATAGAGACCCACAGAGACCCAAACTCATAGAGACCCACAGAGACCCATACTCATAGAGACCCACAGAGACCCACACTCATAGAGACCCACAGAGACCCATACTCATAGAGACCCACAGAGACCCACAGAGATCCATACTCATAGAGACCCACAGAGACCCACACTCATAGAGACCCACAGAGACCCACAGAGACCCATACTCATAGAGACCCACAGAGACCCACACTCATAGAGACCCACAGAGACCCATACTCATAGAGACCCACAGAGACCCACAGAGACTCATACTCATAGAGACCCACAGAGACCCACAGAGACTCATACTCATAGAGACCCACAGAGACCCACACTCATAGAGACCCACAGAGACCCAAACTCATAGAGACCCACAGAGACCCATACTCATAGAGACCCACAGAGACCCACACTCATAGAGACCCACAGAGACCCATACTCATAGAGACCCACAGAGACCCAAACTCATAGAGACCCACAGAGACCCATACTCATAGAGACCCACAGAGACCCACACTCATAGAGACCCACAGAGACCCATACTCATAGAGACCCACAGAGACCCACACTCATAGAGACCCACAGAGACCCATACTCATAGAGACCCACAGAGACCCACCCACTCACTCACCAACTCACTCACCCATCCACTCGCTCACCCACCCACTCGTTCATCAAGCCAACCACTCACTCACCCAGCCTCTAGCCCATCCACTCACTCAAACACCCACTCACCCACCAACTCGCTCACCCACTCACTCACTCAGCTACTCATCCACCCATTCACTCAACCACCCACTCACTCACCTACTCGCTTACCCACCCACTCGCTCACCCACTCACCCACTCAACTACTCACCCACCCGCCTACTATCTCACCCACTCGCCCACCCACTCACCTATTCACTCACCCATTCACCCACCTACTCGCTCACACATTGACCTACCCAACTGCTCACCCACCCACTCATCCACCCACTCGCCCACTCACTCGCCCACCCACTCATCCACCCACTCAACCACACACTCGCCCACTCACTTGCCCACTCACCCACCCACTCGCCCACCCACTCACCCACTCACTCACTCACTAATCCACCCACTCGCCCACCCACTCGCCCACCCACTCACCTACCCACTCACCTACCCACCCACTCGCCCACTCACTCGCCCACCCACTCACCTACCCACTCACTCATCCACCCACTCGCTCACTCACTCGTCCACCCACTCACCTACCCACTCACTCATCCACCCACTCGCCCACCCACTCACCTACCCACCCACTCGCCCACCCACTCGCCCACCCACTCAGCTACCCACTCACCCACCCACTCACCCACCCACTCACCTACCCACTCACTCATCCACCCACTCGCCCACCCACTCGCCCACTCACCCACCCACTCGCCCACCCACTCACCTACCCACTCACCTACTCACTCACTCATCCACCCACTCACCCACCCACTGGGGGGTGATGGTGAGTGGGATGGGAGGGGGGAGTGGGGGGTGATGGTGAGTGGGATGGGGGGGAGGGGGGAGTGGGGGGTGATGGTGAGTGGGGTGGGGGGGTGGGGGGGAGTGGGGGGTGATGGTGAGTGGGGTGGGGGGGTGGGGGGAGGGGGGGGTGATGGTGAGTG